CTGCGTCTTTTGGGATTGCAGCACGACTTCTTGCCACTAGACCCCAGAGCTCCCTACTTGAACCAGAATTCCAACTTGAACTAGTTTTAACCAAAAAGGAAATTAAAAGAACATTGGGGGCTTCACAAAAATCTAAGAAAGAATTACACACAAACAAAGGTAAAGACAAGGAAATATATATATTGGGTTAAGGACTTGAAGGAACACAAACACCGTTCACTTACAATGTCTGTTGGCCTTGCTTTTATTTTTCCCTCCTCTCCTTATTTCCTGAAGAATTACATTCTCTCCTACCTCCCCCTCCCTCTCGACTCCCAATTGTCCCTTCTTACTAATTTAGCTCTTGAAAAAGAATTTTCTTAACCTGAATCCCAATATTGTGAAAGAAAGGCTATGACACAGGATAGATCCTTTTAATAGTACATGTTTTAAAAAAGAAGTTATAAAAATATAACAACACAACATTTTTTGAACAGTTAGGGAGTAGGTATTTTTCTAGCTTTGTGAAATTACTTCCTCATAGGGTTAAAATAGTAATACTTTACAATCTTGTGACGGATCTTCTAGATAAGGAAACTAAGGTTTACAAGGGAAGTTATATAGCCAGGATTACATAGCTTGTATTTGGTGAAGCCAAAAGTATTTTAAAAATATAGAAGATGGGAAGGGATAAAGAAATTAGAGGGGACTTCTACGTAGTCTGATGCCTAAATCACAGTACTCTCTAGTTAAGACTATGTATTCTGAAACCTGACTTTCTGGATTTGAATCCTGACTTTACTATTTACAACAGATGTGACATTAAACAGTTTGTGTAAACTTTTTTGTGACTTTGTTTCCTTGTCTCTAAAATAAGAATACACCACCTCTTCCTTTGTATTTATGATAATACTAAAGAATCTACTTCCGGCTAGGGGTTCACATATTAACAACATACGTCTGATAATAATGAAACCAAGATGAGAGTACCACTGACTGATCGTATGTCAGCTTGATGGAGTCATAATCTGTTATTTGACAGTTGTGTAATGATCCTCCATTTTGTGATCTAAAATGGTCATACTCCCATTTTTTGCATAACACTTATATTTGCAGATTTACTAGGTCTTTTGGAACCTGACCACGTTAAGAAGTGCATGAATGTAATGTTACTGTCAAATGTCATTGAGTACAACTTACAGCAACCCTATGAACAGCAGATCTGACCTTTTCCCTATCCTTTACCATTCCTCATCATCTCTGCTGTATTTGAACCCATAGCTGCAGTCACTGTCCATCTTGTTGAGAGTCTTCCTCTGTTTCTCTAATCCTCCAAAGAGAACTGACTGCACTTTTCCCCAAAATATGTCTTTTTGGGGTTTTTTTTTTGCAGGCCATAGAATATTCACTACTCTTCTCCAAAACTGCAATTCAAAGGTATCAGTTCTTCTGTCATCCTTAATCATGGCCTGAATCAGGTGCCTCTTAGTCTCTAAACCAACATCATTGCTCCTAAGTATTTTGAAGTCCTTGATAGCAGACTTTCCCAGTACAACACATCTTTTGATTTTTTAACTGCTTGTACCAAGAATGTTGGTTCAAGTAAGATGACATCGTTGACAGTAGTATCTACATTATAGGGGTTGTTAACAAGATGAAATAAATGAAAAGTACTTAGGTTAAAACATTAATGGCCCTGAATTAAGTTTCAAATATCAGAATTTCAGATATTGGGGGGGGGGGCACGAAATGGCAGAGAGTAAATTATCCAAGAAATAATGCTTGAATAAATGTGCGTTGAGAATTTCCAAGGACTTCAGAATTATAGGAGACAACCAGTCTAGATTTAAGACCGGTTTGGAAGCAGGAGTGTCATCCACTTCCTAAACAGCATGCTTCTGAAAACTCTATGAACTTGGAGAAACAATGATAGTTACAGAAAGGCCATAGGTCTTTTGTTCATAGGGTCTCTATGAGTTGTGCTCGACTTGACAGCAGTCAACAACAGCAACTTAAACTAATGAAGAAGCAGATAATACTTTACCATTAATAAAAAGTACTGTTAAGAAATATAATTCTTTTATACTATTTGACTTGGCAATAAATCTTTTTATACACTTGCACATTGAGTTACTCAAAATTTTTTATGTACCTTTTTGTGGGGAAGGAGGAGAGGATGGTGAATAAGATGATAGAAAAAAGCTCCTTCATCTGTTGTAACACGAAGTCTACAGATAATATCTTGACAAATCTGTATTGATAATGTGAGTATATTATTTAGCAGTGCACAAAGTAAATGTCATAAGAGATAGCAAAAAAGGTTAAATATTTACCATCTACCTTTTAAAGCTATGCATGTATTACTTTAAATGATAGTAAAGATTTTTTAAAAAAAAAATGCACCTAGATCGTAAATGCACATGAATTAGAAGCACAAATCTGAAAGATCAGCAGTTTGAACCCATCCTCTACTGGAGAAAAAAATGGGGTGATAGTCTTTAAAGAGCATAGTCTTGTAAACCCTTTGGGGTTTACCTTGTTCTGTAGGGTCTTGTTGAGATGGCATTGACTTGAGTTCAGCAGGTTTGATTTTTAAAAGAGAAGCCAGCGATTTTAGCTCTGCTTCTAAAACAAGTCACTGAATTAATTTGTGAGAAATTTGACCAAAATTTTTAAGTTGCTAGCTCCCTGAATGAAGGAATTTTTACTAATACCTACTTCTAGTGTTCAATTCTAGACAGGTTTAGCTACTTAAGTAAAATACTTGCTGCTGTTAAGTACTGTTGAGCTGGGAGAGATCCATAGCTGACCCTCCAGTGGATTTCCAAAGGTGGTAAATTGCCCATCTTTCTCCCACAGACTGGCTGTTGGATTTAAACTGCCATTATTTCAGAAACAGGAAATAAAAAAGAAGCTGTGCAAAGACTTAATAGCTTTTGATTCCTCATGCACATCCCTACTTCATGAATAGAGTTGTATGACCAGTAGTTGTTAGGTTCTATTGAGTTCTCATTCATAAGAACTCTGTTATAGCAGAACAAAATTATTTCCTAGCCCTGCACCATGTTCACAGTCATTATATTTGCTTCCTTCATTTAATTTTTTTTGAGGGCTTTCCTCTTTTTCCATAATCCACTTTACCAAGCATGCTGCTCTTCTCCAGAGACTGGTGCTTTTTGAGAACATGCACAAAATGAGATTAAGACTTGTCATCTTTGCTGCTAAGCAGTATTTTTATTGTAATTATTTGAATACAGGTTTGTTAGATTTTCTAGCAGACCATACTCGGTATTCTTCAGCAACATCATAATTCAGGTGCCTTCATTCTTTGATTTTCCTTAATCATCATTCAGTTCTCACGTGCTGTGACCTCATTAACTTAAGCTGATTATATTGCTACTGAATGATATTAGAATCATGGATTTTTTAAATTTTTAAATATTTTTTAAAGAATTAAAAACATTTATTCTCTTATACTTTAGAAAATAAGTTCAAATTTAGCATGTCAGTTCTAGGAGAAGTTCCTCTCTGAAATGTATTGACAAATGTAGAAAAAATTTTAAGAGAAATTAGTTGATACAATGAGAGTTTAAAGAATCAAGATTGTTACTAATCTAGTAGGGAAAGGTATTTGTATGTGATTGATCACTTGAGTTTTCAGAGAATGAATATTTGCATAAGATTAGACTATTTAAAACAACTTCATATTATATACTTTGTATTTTCATTATTATCATGTTTAGAAAAGCTGTGAATTGATATTTTCTACCTAGTTGATAGTACTGTTTTCTGTTGGTAGAATATTAATGGAAAAACATAAAAATACGTGATGTCTCATGCTCTCATGCTAAGAATAATAAAAGCGTTCATAGCTGGAAATAGAGAAACTCAACTGTACTCTTAACCTTCCTGTTCAGTAGCTAGGCTACCTGCCTTTCATTTTTTTAATCTTCTCTTTCTGTAGTGTTTTCAGTCTCTCTTATACTCTCTTCTCCATACCTAGCACTCCTGTGTGGGAACCCTTATGATTCATTAACTTCTGGTTGTTATTGTGCACTGTTGAATTGGATATGACCACCCAGCAGTCTTTTAGAGGTATTTAATTCCTTGGGGCAAGATTCCTCACCTTTTTCCCACTGAGCATCTGGTGGATTTAAACTGCGTACATTTGGGTTGCCAGTGCAACTCCTTACCACCAGAGCTCCCTATTGAATGTTGAATCATACTTTATTTCATTTTCTGTTGATCCAGAATATTATTCTTTACTTTTCTTGAACTCTAATAGCATTATCTTCTGTTAATGGTATTTTTATAATAAGCTTTCTCTCTCAAAACTGGAACCTATCTTCTGTCCTTCAGTGTATGTTATACAGACTTGTTTAGAATGGTTTTGTGTATGTGTGTTTAAATTCTGTTGTGGTAAAGCATGAAACAACAAATTTGCCACTGTAACTTAATTAAAGTATACAATTCAGTGATATTAATTATATTCACCATATTTCCCAGCCATCAACATTATTTCATCAAAAGTTTTTATCACATCATTTAAACAGAAACTCATTTCCTCTTAAGCAAACTACTCATTCCTCTCCTTAACCCTTGTAAACTAGTAGGAGACTTGTTTTCTATGCATTTGCCTATTGTAGATATTATATGCTATATTTGTCATTTTGTATAATACTTAATGCAACTACTCAGCATAACGTTTTTAAGAGTGAACTATGTTGTAGCAGGTATCAGAGCATCATTCCTCTTTAATTAAGGCTGAATAAGTGTATGTACCTCATTTATTCATTCATCTTTTTATGGACTCGGGTTATTACTATATTTTTACTGTTATGAAAACTTTTTATTTAGTTACATAAATATAGTCAAGATTCTACAAAGTGCATTTTTAAAAATGAAAGAGTTTTGTTTAATAGATTAATAATCTTGTCTGGCCTTTTTATAACCCTTTTGCTGTTACTACCATATTATTGTGAATCTTCCTGACAACTGACATTTTTATTTTTGTCTTTTAGTCTTACCTCCAGTATTAGTGCCTCGTCACAATGAATTCAATCCACAGCATAGTCTTCTGGTTCAGTTTAGGAACCTAAGCCACAATGAGCCACATATGCCACAAAATGCTACGTTTCCAGATTCTTTCCACCAGCCCAACAACACTCCTTTTCCTTTGTCACCAAACAGCCCATATCCCCCTTCCCCTGCTAGCAGCACATATCCCAACTCCCCTGCAAGTTCTGGACCAGGAAGTCCATTTCAGCTCCCAGGTAAGAATTTATTTTATTGGTTCCCCCCCCCCCCAAAAAAAAAATCTGTTCCTGCGATTTAATAGTTGATACTGTAAGCACTCTGATTGAGTGCCAAGAACTCACTATTTTCAGCTCTTATTTTTCTTTAGTTAGTTGTTTGATTCCTAGGAGAATTTGGATTTTGTTTTTCTAAGTACTATCAGACTAGTATATATGTTTACCAGAAAAAAATTATAAAGGCACTAGCCTTATTTTACTTAATGTTTTTATATAATTTAAAATACTAAATGACTCAGGTGGTTAAGCATGAGATTATACCAAATGGTTGGTGATTCACATCCACCCAGAGGCATCTAGGAAGTTAAACTTGATGATCTGCTTCCAGAAAGTTACATCTTTAAACTTGGGATACTTTTACCCTGTGCAGCTGGGGTTGCTGTAAGTTGAAATTGATTTCATGGCACCTAACAGTAATAATACAGCACCATTTATTCTGTGTGTGGTGGAGAGCTGCTATAGTGATGCAGATTATTGTTAAATCTAATATTTAAAAGAGCCATATGAGATAGATATTATTCCTGCTTTGCAGATGGAAAATGAAATTTATAGTCAACCTGGTAATAATACAGAATACTTTGCTTAAGGTCAAATAGCTAAGTGGAGATTTGGACTCACCTTTTGTTTCTTTCAACTTTATTACATTACCTTTCCAGTCATTGTAGGTTTAGGTAATTTAAAATTAACTTCATTTATTTTTAAGTAAGTAACTGATAAATTGGTATTTTTTTGTGTTGTTTTGTTTGTTGTGGGTTTGTTTTTGTTTTTGTTTTTAATTGTAAAAAGTAGAAGGATAACTAGTAAAACATGTATGGGGATCCAAGGGAGTAGAGGGTGGGAGCAGAAAGGTAAGAATGGGTAGTGATGAAATCATAGGGTTTCACAATTTGGTGGGTGGAAGGAGTGGGTAAAGGAAATGAGAAATATCTGGTGGGGATCAGAAAAGACAGGGTAATGAATGGTGAGCAAAGTCTGAAGGTGACTTATTTATTTATTTACAAAGGGATTGTCATTTTTATTTGTGGGTTTCCCATTTGGGAATAGGGGCACATACTCTCTAGCTACATCATATTGAACAGGGATGTTGCGATAAAAGGGAAGGGGAGCCAACACTTTATTAGTGGTCTTGAGTTGAAGCTGCATACCTTCTTGTTCAGTTAGAAGATATTTTCATGATGTATTTTGCCCTCTAGAATGCAAGATGTTTGCATGGGTGAGTCCAGTGGGAATGTTTGGCTGAACTTTGAGGCTCCATCCACCTTCACTTTCTTAGCTGGAAGTTATATTTCCCTTTTGTCTCTGGAACTGGGATAGGGGTTCAGGTTTCTGGAACAAGACTCAGTGTTCAAGTTACATATAGAAAATGGAGCAAACCTAGAGAGAACAAACTTGTGAGTTACAAAGTAAAGTTCTTTAGAGTTGTTACTTAAAGGTGTACTGGAGGAGGAGACAGAGTAAAGTGGCTTAGATTTCTCATACACACCAGGCAGCTCTCACAAGGGGCTGGATGGTTTGCCCCTGCCAGGAAGCTCTCCTCATCCCAGGAGCCGTATTGATCTCCCCAGGGGTTGGGTGTCCCCCTCCCCTAAGGCTCTTTTGAGGTCCTGACCTTGAACCTTGCTGAGGACAGAACTTCTGGCTCCAGTGCCACCATCATCACCCCCTTCCTCTCTGTCAAGAAATTTAATTGCAGTTGGAAGTAGGTATTACTATTTTCCCCTTCCACAAATGTAGAAGGAGCTTCCAGAGTGGTGAACAGAATTGCTCAAGGATGAAAAAGTAATAAAGGCAATAGAACAAGCCCTCAAACCAGGGTTGTCTGAAGGCTGGTTGTGAGGTGACAGGGCTCCTCTGCAGGCATAGTCTTGCTGAAGATTATTTTTAAAATGTCTAGAAGAATGTATTCAAGTGACATGCATCTTTTGCCTTTTGAGTACCTAAACTGATATTTTTGGAAAAACACATTATTAATAGCTTTTATAAAATTTTTGTTAATGCTATGTTATGGGTCACATCATTATGCACTCTTATCAAGAAATACTAGAATGCCTACCATCTTTTAGGCACCGTCATATGTAAGTTTATTCTTTATGATTCTCTATAGCAACAAATGTGAGGCTGAACACTGTGACACGGATGTGTCAAATGCATTAATGGTTGGCTACCAAATGCAGACAGAGAGTGGGGTGGAGCTCCCCAATGAAAACAAGCATGGAAGGAGGAGTGGCATCTACTTCCATAATAGCTTGCCTCCGGAAACCCTATGAACCTGGAGAAAGGATGAAAGGCACCCAAGCGTTGAGGACTCTCCTTCATAGGGTTGCTATGAGTCGCCTGCGACTCGACGGCATTTAACAACAACAACATAGCAACAAAACATCCATTAATGTAATTGTAAATTTTATTCCTTTTATGGAGAATTAAATAGAAATTTCAGCTTGTTATTAGGAATTTGTTTAAAAACTTTACAAAGTTATTGTACAGTCAATGTAAATTAAGGCCCTGTCTGAAAAATATCTAGTCGAAACCTTGGCATGAAAGACAGATTGTCAGTATATTTGTAGTTATTGAGACAAAGAAGCGTTAGTATAGCTTTTGGAGATAATTTTAACAAGTTTGAAGTAAAACTATTTTCTGTTTAACATTGCGTTTCCTCAGAATCTGAGTACAAAGGTGCCATTTTTTTTGAGATTTTCAGAGTTTCATGAGCGCTGATAGCATTGATGGCAAACATAGAGGAACATGGTTTTATTTCTGGTTTTAGACAACAGTGTATATAGTATGTGATGATCTTGAGTATCTAGGTATATTCTCAAACAAGGATTACTTATGTCCTTGAAATTGATTTGTAATAGCAATTAGTTTCCCTAAGCATGTGATTCTTAACAAATAAAGGCATAATTCTTGGCTTTCAATTATACTTTTGGTACTAAAACTAAACTACCAGAGATCTGGGTAAATAAATGCTGCTTTCCATGAATATTCAGTGTGCTGTCTTTCTTTTATCTCACTTGTGACTAGACTAAAATCATACTTTTTTTTTTTTGGTGTATTTAATATTCAGTAATGAGTTCTGCAAGTAATCTTAGGATGAATGTTTAATGCCTTTGGAATAATAAACTTGAGCAAAATGAAAATTTAGCTATTCTTTTAGGCCCCAACTTATCTCATTTTCTTTCTTTTAGCTGATACTCCTCCTCCTGCTTATATGCCACCTGATGATCAGTTGGGTCAGGATAATTCCCAGCCTATGGATACAAGCAATATGATTCCTCAGATTATGCCCAGTATATCTAGCAGAGGTAAGAGAAGCATTTATCATTATGTGTTCTGTGTTGTTTTTGCTTTATTAAATTTCTTCTTGGCCACTTGGGGAAAAAAAAGCAAAACAAAACACCACACCAAAAAATGGCTTTATAAAGTCTAGTTTGTGTACCATAAAATTCCCATTTTAAATGTAGAGTTCAGTGGCTTTTAGTAAATCACAGTGAGGTTCACCAGGATCACAATCTGTAGATTTGCCTTTTCTGAGCACTTTATGTGAGTAGCTTTTTGTACTATCTCAGGAACAGGTTTGAAGCCTGAGTACTAATGACCAAAGGTCAGATAAGAAGATATTAAGACTATCATTCGTGAATAATCCAAAAAGTTACTGCAAAGACAGAGGAGGGGGGAGAAAAAGACCAAGATGGATGTCAGAAGAGACTCTGAATATTACACAGAAAGAGAAGCCAAACAGCTATGAGATATCATCTCACCCCAGTCAGAATAACAAAATTTAACAGAAAAGCAAGCAACAACTGCTGGCGAGGTTATGGAGAAATTGGAACCCTTACTCATTGTTGGTAGAAGTATAAAATGATACAACCATTGTGGAAGTCAGTATGGTACTTTCTCAAAAAGTTGCAAATAGAGATACCATTTGACCTAGCAATTCCACTACTGGAAATATACCCCAAAGAGACCATAACTGACACCCAAGCAGATGCACACCCATGTTTATCGAGGTTTGTTCACAATAGCAAGGAGTTGGAAACAACCTATGTGCCTATCAACAAACAAATGGATAGAGAAGCTGTGGCATATTCACACAGTGGAATACTACACTGAATTGAAAAACAAGGAACTCATGCAATATTATTCAAAATAGGTGACCCTGGAGGACATTATGCTGAGTAAAATATCTCAGTCACAAAAGGACAAATACTGCATGTTTACATATACAACATATGTTGTAAAACAGGACTGACATTGGGGTTCAGGTGAGACTGAGAAAGATGGGTTTAGTAATATATACTGCATTGAAACATGTGAGGGAGAAAGTGGTTTAAAAGGGATAGGTGATTAGGTATTTTTGTCGTGACAGGAGTCCAGAGCTAGCAAAGGCTGCATAGTGGAGTGGACCTGGGGAGAGGGACTGTAAAACAATGAAAGAATTTTTCTTTTACTTTTCCAAGAGGGTAGTGTACTGGTGGTGAGGATTGGGAGGAGAGAAAAGTCCAACAATGAATGAATAGAAATCCAAAGTCTCTGTAAATTTTCATTGAAATTAATAATAAACAACAACAACAACAAAAAGAGAAGCCAATGCAAAGGGAAGAAATCTAGAAGTTAAACTGAACAGAAGATTTCAAAAGGTAACACTGGAAGACAGAGCAAAGTATTATGATGAAATGTGTAAGGAGTTAAGAGTCAGAAAATCAAAAGCAGATGAACTCTCTGGGCATTTCTTAAGCTGAAGGAACTGAAAAACAGAGTTAAGCCTCAAGTTGCAATACGTTAGGATACTGAAAGCAGAATGTTGAATGACCCAGGAAGCACCAAAAGAAGATGGAAGGAGTACACAGAGGCACTATTCCAAAAAAGATTTTGGCTGACACGGAAGAATTTCATGAAACAACATATGATTAAGAGCCTTTGCTGATGAAGGAGGAAGTTCAAGCTGCTCTGAAGGAATTGGCAAAAAACAAGATCCTAGGAATTGATGGAATACCAGTTGACATATTTCAGCAAACAGATGCTGCCCTGAACACGCTTACCAGGTTATGCCAAAAATTCCAAAGGACACCTGGCCAGCTGAGTGGAAGAGATCTGTATTTATTCCTATTCCATAAAAATGTGGCCCACCAGGCTAGAAATTATCGAATGATAACACTAATACAACACACAAGCAAAATCTTGCTGAAGATTATCTAGAAATGACTGGAACAGTAGTACATAAGCAGAGAACTGCCAGATGTGCAGACTGGGTTTAGAAGAAGCTGTGGCACTAGGGACATTATAACCGGCGTCAGATGGATCTTAGCTGAAAGCAGAGATACCAGAAGAGCTCTTATCTGTGTTTCATTGACTATGCAAAAGCATTTTTGTATGGATCACAACAAATTTTGGGTAACCTTGAGGAGAGTGAGAATCCCAGAACACTTCATTGTGTTCATGTGAAATCTATAGTTGGACCAGGAAGCAGTAGTCAGATAAGAGCAAGGAAACACTGCCTAGTTCAGAATCAGTAAAATGTGCATTGAAGGATGCAGCCTCTCTCCATACCTTTTCATTCTATATGCAGAACAGATCATTCAGGAGGCTGAACTTTAAGAAGAGGAATGTGGCATCAGGATTGGAGGAAGATTCATCAGCAACAACATTATGCAGATGACATGACCTTACCTGCTGAAACTGAAGAGGACATGATGCATTTGCTGCAGAAAATCAAGGACTGCAGCCTTCAATATGGACTGAAGCGCAACATCAAGAAAACAAAGATTCTCACCACTGGGCCTATTGACAGCATCATGATAGATGGAGAAGAGATTGAGATTGATGATAACTTCAGCTTGCTTGGTTCCATAATCAACACTCTTGGCCCCAGCAGTCAAGAAATCAAAAGATAGATTGCATTGGGAAAGTCTGTTGTCAGGGACCTCTCTAAAGTACTCGAAAGCAACAGTGTCAGTCTGGAGACTAAGGTGTGCCTGATCCAGGCCATGGTCTTTGCACTTACTTACTATGCATCCAAGAGCTGGACAGTAACTAAGGATAATAGAAGAAGGATCAATGCCTTTGAGTTATGGTGCTGGAGAAGAGTGTTGAACATAGTGTGGGCTGCCAGGAGAACAAACAGGTCTTCCTGGAGAGGGTGAAACTGGGCTGCTCTCTGCAGCAAGGATTTTGAGGCTTCGTCTGACATACTTTGGGCATATTGCAAGGAGGGACCATTCCTTAGATAGGGACATCATGCTTGGAAGAGTGGAGGGGACAGCACAGAAGAGGAAGACTCAGTATGAGATTAATTCACTCAGTGACTGGAACAATGGCATTAGGTCTGTCAGAGATGATGAGATTGGCTCAAGACAGGGCAGGTATCAGAGCTAATATGCCATAGGGTCACTATGAGTTGCAGGCGACTTGATGGCATATAACAACAACAACAACAACAGTCTTTACAGGGAGCTCTGGTCACCCTAGTGGATAAGGAATTTTGCAGCCACCCCAAAGACGTGTGGTTCAAATTCACCAGCTTCTCCACAGAAGAAAGGTGACCAGTTTCCTTCCATGTGATTTACAGTCTCTGAAAACTCACTGAAAGGTCAGCTATGAGTAATTTTTTATTCGATGGCAGTGAGTTGGGGGTTAAAGTCCAAATTTTTATGTTGAAGTACACTTGTATATCTTTTGAGTATATACCTAGGATTAGAATTACAGAGTCATATTGTGAGTTTATATTTTAAGAAAAAATACCAGCTGTTTTCCTTTGTACGTTCTCATCAAAATTGTGCATGTGTTCCAGTTTCTTCACATTCTTTCAGTGCTTATTATTATCTCTTTTTTTAATTCTAACTAACCATTCCAGTGGGTGTGAAATGATACCACATTTTGTTTCTGATTTACATTTCTCTAATGAATAGTGGCATTGAGCATGACATTATGAGAATGGCACAGGGTATAGGCCAAGATTGTTTACAGGATCTCTGTGAGTTGTAGGGTTTTTTTGGAGGGGTTTTTTTGTTGACATATCTGTTTATATTTTTGCCTATTTTTTAAAATGTTTTTATTGTTGAGTATATACACAGCAGATGGATGGTGAAGAGATTGAGATTGTTCACAGCTTCAGTTTGCTCGGCTCCGCGGTCAACACTCTTGGCACCAGTAGCCAGGAAATCAAAAAACGTATTGCGATGGGAAAGTCTGCGGTTAGGGACCTCTCTAAAGTACTCAAGAGCAACGGTGTCTCTTTGGAGACTAAGGTCCGCCTGATACAGGCTATGGTTTTTGCAATCACTTGTTATGCATCAGAGAGTTGGACAATGACTAAGGACGACAGAAGGAGAATTGATGCCTTTGAGCTGTGGTGCTGGAGAAGAGTACTGAATGTACCATGGACTGCCAAGAAAACAAACAGATTCCTCCTAGAGAGGGTTAAACCAGGCTGCTCCTTAGAGGCAAGGATTCTGGGGCTTCGCCTGACATACTTTGGACATGTTGTAAGGAGAGACAGGTCCTTGGAGAGGGACATCATGCTGGGCAGAGTGGAGGGACAGCGCAGGAGGGGAAGACCCTCTATGAGGTGGATTGATTCAGTGACTGGGGTAATCGGGATGGGTGTGTCAGAGGCAATGAGACTGGCACAGGATAGAGCAGGGTTTAGGGCTGTTGTACATAGGGTCGCTTTGAGTCACATGCGACTCGATGGCACATAACAACAACAATGAATAGTGGCATTGAGCATGACATGAGAATGGTGCAGGATATAGGTCAAGATTGTTTACAGGATCTCTGTGAGTTGTAGTTGACCGCACTTAATAACAACAATAAGTAATGATGTTGTGCATCCCTTTATGGCTTTTTAGTCTTCTGTAGGTTTTTTGGGTTTTTTTTGTTGACATATCTGTTTATATTTTTGTGTATTTTTTAAAATGTTTTTATTGTTGAGGATATACACAGCAGATGTAATAGCAGTCAACAATTTTGTGTGTACAATTCAGTGACATTTGCCTGTTTTTTTTTTTTAAACTAGGCTGTTAGTCTTAGTTGTAAGAGTTGTTGATATATTTTAGATAAAAACAAATTAGCCTTGTTTCTAGTCAGATTGGTTGCTATCATAGTGGCTCTGTGTGTTATAGGGTAGAACTGCTCCATAGGTTTTTCTCGGTTGTAGTCTCTACAGAAGCATATCATTGCAGTGCTTCTGAGAGGCTTTGGTGTTAGATTTGTTGTTCATATAAGCAGTCAAGTTGATTCTGATTCAAAACAACAGTAGAGAACAGAACAATCCTGCCCCGTGGGCTTCTTAGGCTTTCATCTTTATGGGAGCAGATCATCACTTTTGATTGCTCTTTCTTGGGGTAGCTGGTAAGTTGAAGCTAGGGCTTCACATTTGTTAAAAATCATTCATTCATGGTTAACAGAAATAAGGACACTATGCTTGTTGCATGACAATAAATCTCTTGTGCGTGAGATTTTAACCCAAGTAGGAAATAGGCAGAAGGAGACCTGCTACACAGTGGGAAAATTTGGTGCTTCAGATTCACTCTCTTGGTAGAAGGATGAAGCAGTTTGCTTTCTGTAAGGTTTACTGACTTGGAAACCCATTAGAGGGTTACTATGAGTCAGAATCAACAGGACTACATGGGTTGGTTTTTTTTTTCCATTTTAGAAAACAGTCAGATATGCCCTGATACAACTGACTGTTCTTCTTTGCATGTCTATCATGGCATCATTTTTGTGTAGGGCACTGCTGTCTATATTCTAGTTGAGTGAAAGTCCAGGGCTCCAGGAAATTTGATTGGTAATCAGATGTGTATACTGTCCTGTTTTTCTTAGTCATGACTGAGCTATTTTGAACTGCTGACATATAATTTTGTGGCAGGATCTTAAACATACCACCAAAGCCATTTTTTAGGTTCCTTGTCAGGTGCAACCATTTTTGCCACCCAGGGACTTTCATATTCTGGAAGGAATTCTTTTATCAGATACATAATTTATAAATCTTTTCTCTCATTTTGTGGCTTATCTTTTCATTTGCTTTATTATGATCATTCGACCTCAAAAAGTTTTGAATTTGTATGTAGTGCACTTTCTTTGTCTTCTTGAACCATACATACTCTTTTTTTTCAAAATTTCTTTTTATTTTATATTGGTTTGCATACTTAAACTGTACTTTTGATACTTTGTGTAAGAAATCTTTCTCTATCCTAAACTAAGGTCATGAAAATTTTCTCCTATTATTTTCTACAAGGTCTATATAGCTTCAGCTTTTACAGCTCGGTTTACCACTCATTTTGAGTTAGTCTTTGTATGTTGTGAGGATTTTAATTCAAAATTTTACATGTATTTATCTGGTTGGTTATAGCATTTATTAGAGTATTATCGCTATTGAATTGTCTTGGTCATCTCTGTCAGTATATGTTGTGTCGTGCCATTGAGTTAGAATTGACGCCTAGCTGATCCTCCAGGGGCTTTTCAGAGACTATAAATCACACTAGAGGAGATTGCTCATCTTTATCCCATAGAGCAGCTCATGGGTTTGAACCATCTGCCTTTGGACTATCAGCGCAACTTCTTACTACTAAGGCGGCAGAGCTCCCTTGTTGGTATATTGATGTTTGGTGTTGGTGAGTATGACTTAGAGTGATCCTGTGAACAACACATCTGAACCCTATCCTTTCTTGTGCCATTCTCATCATCTCTGACACTCTTGAGTCCACTGCTGCATTCACTGTGTCAATCTTTTTATTGAAGATCTTCATCTGTTTTTGCTGACTATCTACCTTTCCAAACATGATGTCCCTCTCCAAGGAACAGATTCTCATAGCAACATGCCAAAGTGTGTGAGACAAAGCTTTGTTATTCTTGTCTCTATGGAGCACTCTGGCTGCACTTTTCCCAAGACACCTCTGTTTGTTCTTTTGGTAGTCCATGGATTGTTCAGTACTCTTCTCCAATACCACAGCTCAAAGGCATCAATTATTCTTTGGTCTTCCTTATTAATTGTCTAGCTCTCAAATGCATAGGCAGTAATTGAAAAGACTATGGCCTGAATGAGATGAACCTTACTCCTCAAACTGACATCATTGCTCCTCAGTATTTTAGAGAGATCTGTGACAGCAGACCTGCCCAGTGCATCTCCTGATCTCCTGATTGCTGGTACTGGTATATGTTGCTGTTGTTGTTAAGTGCAATCAAGTCAAGTACGACTCATAGCAACTCTGTGAACAAAAGATCTGAACCCTGCTGTATCCTGTGCCATCCTCACACTTCCTGACACACAAGAGCCCATTCAGTCACAGTGTCAATCCACCTGGTTGAGGGTCTTCCTTTCCTTTGCCAATCCCCTACCTTCCCAGCATCATGTCCTTCTCCAAGGAATAGCCCCTCCTAGCAACATATATAAAGTATGTGAGGCAAAGCCTCATCATTCTTTTCTTGCCTTCAGAGAGTACTCTTGCAGCACTCTCTCCAAGACATGTCTGTTTGCTCTCTTGGTCATTCACCAGGTGTTCAGTTCTCTTCTCCAACACCACAGCTCAAAGGCGTTCTTATCCTGTCATCCTGTTTGTTGTCCAGCTCTCAGATGCATAGCAAGTGATCGGAAAAACCATGGCCTGAATCAGACACACATTAGTCCTCAAACTGTCATCATTACTCCTTGATAATTTGGAGAGATCACTAACTGCAAATTTTCCCATTTTCTTCAGCTTCTCGAATTATTTGCTCAGCATACAGATAAATAGGTCTAGTTACAACCTTGATACATACCTTTTCTGAATTTAAACCATTTGGTAGTCCCTTTTATCTTCTCAGACAGCTGCTACTTAGACTGTGTATATGCCCTCACATGAGCACAGTTCAGTGTTTGGGATTTCCATTCTCACTGTTAGCCACAATTAGTTATGTTCTTCACAATAAGGTGCTTTTACATACTCAAATTGTTGTGAAAATATGCACACCAAAATATTTGCAGCTACAATATCTTCCACATGAAATTCACTTTCATTTTCTAAACTCTACTGCCACTATTAACATAAACTTCATTCTCTGGTGGCCTATTTTATAAAGGGTTATACCGCCTACTTGAAAGCAGACATTTGAATCCACCAGCTACTCCAAGAGAGACAGATTAACAGTCTTTGTGTGATTTACAGCTAACCTCAAACCTGATAAAATGTCTGCTGAGTTTGTTTGGACTTTATGACAAGTTAAACTACCTTATTCTGTGCTTCTTCTCACCTTTGGAAATGATGAATCATTTCATTGGCACTGCCAAATCTTCTCTCACTCCAGCAATCATGTATGCAACAGAAAGAAATCATTCCTCATCATGTGCCATCCTCACAATCTCTGCTTTGCTTAAGCAGTTTGTCAGTCCAGCTCATTGAAAGTCTTCCTTTCTCTCACTATGCCTCTTCTTTACAAAGTGATGTCTTTCTACAGAGACTGATTTCTCTTGATTACTTGCCCACAGTATGGGAGACTAAGGTTTTACCAGCCTCACTTCTTAGGAGTATTCTGGCTATACTTCTTCCAAGACCAATTTGTTATTTTGGCAGTATATCTCAAACGCATTGCCATCTATTGGATTTCTGAGGCTGTAAATCTTTTATTTAAATAAATTTTTTTTACTAATTTACTTAGAAAGTTTGTATGCATTGGGTTGTTGTTTTTTTCACACTGGATCTTCCCCATTTCCTTTACTTACCTCTTCCTCCACCCATCACATTGTGTGACCCTGTGATTAACTACCACTCCATCCTCACCCCTCTGCACCCCTACTTCTGCCCTTGGATCCTCAATCTCTTTCTATAATAACTATTTTTATACAGTATTTGTCCTTGCTGGACTGAATTACTTCCCTTAGTATAATGCTCTCCAGTCCCTCCCAATTTAGGTAGTGATTTTCAGAATTATTGCTCCTGCATGCTGCATAGTATTCCTTCGTGTGAATGTACCATAAATGCTCAATCCATTCAATTGTGGTTGGACATTTGGGCTGCTTCCATGTTCTTGTGTTGGTGACTAACTCTGCTATGAACATTGGTGTGCAAATCTCCATTTGTGCCTCAGTTCTCATTTTCTCAGGGTATATTCCAAGCAGTGGAGTAATGGGGTCATATGGAATTTCTGTGTTCAGTTTTTGAGGAAGTGCCAAACTGTGAGACTATAAATCTTATGGAAGAAGACCTCCCATTTTTTCCCTAGGAGGTACTGATGGATTTGAACTTCCAGAAGTGCTTGGACTTTTAGTTAATAGAGTAGCACCCTGTACACTGGCCGTAGATCACACAACCAGTGCTTTTTGGATATTTGGGGGTTTGTATATGTGGATTGTGTTTAATTCTTACTGAAAAAATTTAAAAAAATACCCCAGATTCAGTGCCATCAAGTTGGAACCAAGTTATGGCTGACCCTCCAGTGGGTTTTCTGAAGCGGTAAATGGCATGGGGAAAGAGACTGCCTGTCTTTCTCCTGTAGAGTAGTTGGTAGATTCAAACTATGCACCTTTGCTTTTGGCACAACAGCTCTCTACCACTAGGCCACTAGAGCTTCCAATGGTATATAACAGCAGCCGTACAGTTAAGTCCCTTGTGATTAACTGCCTCTGAAAAACTGCCAGAGTATCAGCTGTGGATCTGTTCTGACTCAGTGGTACACAACAACAAAATAGGCTAGCTATTCTAAATTTAAGCCTGGATTAGATTTTGCAGGAAAAACAATTTAAGTTGTGAGATTTTCTTATTTTTGTGGTTCTTTCATTTTTAAATTGTCATGGTCAAGTCTATTTGAGGCATTTATATTTTTTTGTTGTTGGAGACTTTATTAAGTGAAGTAATAGAAGAGTTTATTTTTCAAATAGGTTTCTGATAATCATTAATTAAACTTTCTTTCTGTTTTCTTTTTCCAGATGTTCAGCCTGTTGCCTATGAAGAGCCCAAACATTGGTGTTCAATTGTCTACTATGAGCTGAACAATCGTGTTGGGGAAGCTTTTCATGCATCTTCTACCAGTGTATTAGTAGATGGATTCACAGATCCTTCAAATAACAAAAGTCGATTTTGCTTGGGGTTGTTGTCAAATGTTAACCGTAATTCAACGATTGAAAACACTAGAAGACACATTGGAAAAGGTAAGCTTGTTATTTCCCTACACTTGGTTGAATTCTATCATTTATTTGACCTATATGAACTGCATCTTGTACAGTATTTTGAGCATTCAGAGACTACTAAAGCATGCTTTCTTCTCTCAAGTTGTGAATGTTGAAGAATCTGGTAATCAAGTAATCATTCCTTTCTCCTTATCTTGCTTTATCTTCATCTTGCTGAGATAGAATTAGAAAAATATCTATATCTATATCTTAAGTATCATCTGACTGGAATATTGTTATGAGCTGTGAAGTTGCATGTGACTCCTTGAGACCCTATGTACAACAGCTCTGAACCATACTCTCTCTTTAGCCTGCCTCATTTTCTCTGACACACCTACCCCCATTACCCCAGTCACTGAGTCAGTCCTTCTCATCAAGGGTCTTCCTATCACACATCCCTCCACCCTCAAGCATTATATCCCTCTCCAAGGAGTGATCCCTCCTGGCAATATGCCTAAAGTATGTCAGACGAAGCTTCAAAATCCTTATCTCCAACAAGCAGCCTGGTCTCACCCTCTCCAGGATGAACCTGTTTGTTCTAGCAGTCCATGGTATATTCAGTACTCTTCTCCAGCATAACAGCTGAAAGACATTGATACTCTTCTTCGATCATCCTTAGTCTTCTATCATCTTTAGTCATTGTCCAGCTCTCTGATGCATAGCAAGTAATTGCAAAGACCATGGCCTGGATCAGGCGCACCTTAGTCTCTTAGACTGACATCATTGTTCTTCAGTACTCTGGATTGGGTCGTAACAGCATATTTCCCCAGTGTAATCCATCTTTTGGTTTCCTGGCTACTGGCACCAAAAATGTTGAATATGGAGCCAAGCAAGCGGAAGCTGTTAACAGTCTATCTCTTCACCATCTATCATGATGCTGCCACTAGGCCCAGTGGTGAGAATCTTTGTTTTCTTGATGTTGAGCTTCAGTCCATATTGAAGGCTGCAGTCCTTGACCTTCTGAAGCATCTGCCTCAGCTCCTCCTTTGGAAGAAGGTTTTAGGAAATAAAGTTGTGTCATCTTCATAACACAGGTTGTGGATGAGTCTTCCTCCAATCCTGATGTCACCTTCCTCTTTGTAGATCCCAGCCTCCTGGATGATCTGTCCCACATATAGATTCAAAAAGTATGAAGATAGGATACATAACTGGCATACACCTTTCCTGATTTTGAACCATGCGGTGTTTCCCTGCTCTGTTCTGACAGCTGCCTCCTGGTTCAAGTATGTTGTTGTTGTTGTT